CTCGTAATAATAATATTATTTACACGAGTGTTATTTTCATCATGCTATGTACACTAAATGTTAAAAAAAATATCAAATTATTATAACTATAGAAGTTATAAAATTATTATTAGTGTTAAAAATTATTAATATCAAAATTTAATAAATTGTAAAAATTTAACATTTGTTCCTAACGATAATACCTGGAAAGATATTCGTTTTTGGTATGCATGTGTAATTTAAAATCTGCTGTGTCAGATGACATTTACATTTGTTTTAATTCTTATAATAAGTTTAATTTTAATAAAAGAACATATTTCAAACAATTTAATGAAATGAAAATTACAAAGTCTGAATAAAAAAGGAAAGAATAAATACAGCCTTGTTGATTGACTACTTTCTTTGATTTTTAATTTTAATTTTTATATTTAAAGCAACAATTTCGGCATGCTAGAATTTTATATTATTAATTATAGTATTATTTAAATGAATAATCTTATTTACATCCTGTACTATACACTAATAATTCTATAAACTTATACTTATTACTATGCTCATTAAAACATTATAGTTATTACTATAAATCGAAAGTTTTTCTTTAAACATTATATCTTAGTTATTTATTTTTTGTTGTTGAAGAGAACAAGATTTTTAACGTTATAGCTTTTTATTAAAAAATGCATTTGAATTTTAAAATTTATTAAATACTTATTACTATGCTTATTTGCAGTCAGTTGATTCTTATTTTAACCAACTGGGTTTTGATTTCGGTAATTAAAAATTATATGAATAATTGTGTGAATGAACTGCGTTTTCTCAACAACAACTATGCTTATTAAAACATTATAGTTATTACTATAAATCGAAAGTTTTTCTTTAAACATTATATCTTAGTTATTTATTTTTTGTTGTTGAAGAGAACAAGATTTTTAACGTTATAGCTTTTTATTAAAAAATGCATTTGAATTTTAAAATTTATTAAATGACTAATTTGCAGTCAGTTGATTCCTATTTTAACCAACTGGGTTTTGATTTTGGTAATTAAAAATTATATGAATAATTGTGTGAATGAACTGCGTTTTCTTAACAACAAAAAATAAACATTGTAATCTAAGATGCATATTATTAGAATAAGACAGATATTCTTTTGTGTTTGAGAAATTTATTTTAGTATATATACTTAACTTACAATTTTCTTTGAGAGCAATATAAATGAGTACAAATTAAAATGTGGAAAAAAGTAAGGCGATTTCTTAATGAAATCTTCTGAGTAAAAATCGTCAAAATTAAAATTAAAAAAAAAAGGAATTAAAAGAATGGAAGAAAGTTTTTTTTGTTCTTTTTCCTAATGAGATATACTTTGGATATTTAAAGAGTAATTACAAAACAAATTTTTTAAAAAAAATTTAAATTTTAAAAGTGTTCTGTAATTCTCTTAAGAATTTATACTTAATAGGAAATTTTTTGAAACCATATGAAAAAGTATAAAGCTGAAGGGGAAAAGAGTAAAAAGAATTTTTAATAAAATCTAACAAGAAGATTAAAAAAATAAGCATTATGTTTATTCTTATTTTATCACGGAGGAAAAAATTCTGGAGAAATTATCATGCTGCATGATACTGATTTTTCTCATAAAGAAAATAAATAAATAAAAATAAAAACGGACATAATTCTGGTTAGTAAAGCTGGTATTCAAACCATTCATTTGGTAATTTTTCTATTCACATGGCAACAGTTTAGCGGAAATTATGGTTCTTATTTCCAAACATTTAGAAAAAATACAAAACGGAAAAGTAAATTTAACTGAATAAAGGGTTTCAATGCAACGTTCTCAGTTTTCATGATAAAATCACAAAATTTTACCCCATTTACCAAAATTCTTTTTCTTTTTTTAATTTCACCAAAATCATTACCAAAGCACTTCGCTCAAAATACCGATTGTTTTAGTGTTCCCATAGAACTAGAAACGGGATAAATTTTGCCAAACTTCTCGTAATTCTGACCCTGCCTTTTTCTTAGTGCTTCAATGTTAATAATACTCATGGTCTAAGCTCAAAATAAAAGTTAGTGTAGATATAATGTTGTTATGGTTTGCGTCAAAATAACGATATTTGTATGTTTTCATTTATGAAAGTTTTTAAAAAGGATATTTAGGCATGTAAAAGCTCTATTTGGGCTTACTGAAGTAGTCTAAGAAACTCCTGAAAGGCTTGTAAAAATTTTAAGCATTTTTGAGGCCTGAAGTATGAGAAAAAACTTTTGTCAAGAAATAAAAATGGAAATAAAAATGATAAAAAATAAGCATAGATTTAGTAAAATAATATAAAAAGGAAAAAATGTGAAACGGATATTTCCATAAAATGCGTACAGAAAAGTTTTGAAACCTAATCTAGTATAAGAGATTACCAATTCTTTTAAATGTAAGAAAAATAACACTATACTCATTTTTATGTAAACTCACTTTAAATAACACTGCTATATTACTTTATATCTCCTAATATATTTAAAACAATCCATCAAACTAAATATTAGAATTAATATGTCTGAACTTCAAATATAAAAAATACTATAATTTACTAAGTACCTTAAAGGGGAAATTGAAAAATCAATACACATATTTTGTGGCATTTTTCCAGGAAAAAAATAGCTTTTTATTTTACTTGGTGATTTATCTTCCTACGAATTGGGACAGGAAATTTCCCCAAAGCAGAAAAGTATATTTTCCAGCATCAGATTATTCCCTAAGGGAAAAGAGGAGGGGGTTTTTAAAGCGTATTCTACATTCCATTAAAATTAGCATTTCACTTATAGACAAAAAGAAATTAGTAATGGAATTAAAGACGTAAAGGGAAAATTGATGATTATTTTATAAAATAATTAAGTTCGTATATTAGCTTTGGATCATCCAGAAATGCTACTTTAATTTATTTTCAGTTTAAGAACAAAATGAAATGATTTAATGATTAAATTTTAACATAAATGAAAAGTTTTTAAATCTCAGAAAAAATAAATAATTATATTCATATGATCATTTAGTTCTTTTGCCCCATAACTCAAAAAAAAGAAAGAAATTAGTTATAAAATTAAAGACTTGAACTATTAAATCCATTATTTGACTACAATTTTAATGATTTTTGAAATTTATAATTTTGAAACTAATGTTTTTTTTTGCACACCATAAATTTCTCCATTTTAATTTTAGCACATTTTTTCTGTACTCTAATTCTCTACATAGATTTTGTCTATGATTTTTTTCTTTCCTGCTGTATGTAAAATCTCATTTTAATACAATTACAAGACATAAAAAAGTACCGAAGGTTATAAAACCATAAGAGAAAAATAAACTAAGAATGATTATTTTTATATTGTTTTGCTCACTGCATCACATACAATACTGTTCAAGTTATAATAATAATTTTTTCTAATTTCAAGCTTGCAATAACATTTGCAGGAAGATAATACTTTTAGAAGTTATGAATTAATTATAAAGAGTTTGTGTACAGATTTAGATAATATTTGTTATTTTATAATAGAGCAAAGAACCATACCATACCATAATTTTATCATAACGGTATAAGATTTAGGGAAATATTCCGGGGTTCGTGGACATGATTAGAGTATATTTGTAATTTTATAATGCAGACAAAATTTTTGTACCACAATTTTATCACAGAGTCTGCGCGGTACAAAATTTGTGCAAAGATTACGGGTTCGTGTACTTGCGTAGAGATTATTAGTTTCATAAAGTAACCAAAATGTTTGTACCACAATTTTATGACAGTATCTGTACGGTATATGATTTAGTCAAATTTTTCAGTTGTGTCGAATATAGTAATTAGAAATAGAAAATTTTTTTCCAACAAAATCCCTTCAAACAGATACTGGTGATATATGTCTTAGCAAACGCAAGTTTCAGGTTCCCGTTCTAATTTGAACTGTGTAATTTCTTTCGTTAAAAACAATTGTATAATGTTACCGTCATCAAATCATTTATTTTCTCTGCTTCTTCCAAACATGATACTTCTCGTTCTCAGTTTCTTAGTTCTGAAATATTGTTTCAGAGTTTAATTTTATTTTATCAGATATTTTTTAACATTTTTCATGTTAAATTAGTATACTTTGGTTTTCAAACAGTCGCAGTTTATTTTTTTATAAATATTTTTGCTGTTTAAAATTAGAACTCTTTGTACGAAACATTTTAAAATAAACGCGAGATGCAGATCTTAAATTTCTTTTTCTCTCCCCTTAATCCAATTCTGACAGTCTTTCATCATTTCATTCAATTTATTTGCTTATTTTTTAAGTAAACAAAAATGGTTTGATTAAGAAGACTATTTGAATATAATATTCTCACAATCTAATTTAATAAAAAGTTTGAAACAAATTTTTATTAAATTATATTGTACCTCAATTACGTAAGAGCTTAGTTTAAAATCATGTTTATAACTCTGAATGATAGTTATTACTATATACCGTAAATCAAAAAGGGGCACTTTATTATAAAAAATGAATTATCTCATTTTAAATAAATATCCAAATAACGAGATTTTTGCAAATTTTTAAGAAATAAAAACAATTAGTGTTATTCATTTTTCATTATTTAATGCCAATCAAAGACATAATAATTTTTTTAATATAAAAGCTAGGACAAAATGTGACGTAATGAAACAAAAAATACATATTTTGAAAATATGGAGTTATGGTACTTTTACAATTAACGACACAAATATAGATTTCCTTCAAAAAGAAATTCTTAAACTAAACTGCCATTTAAGGAACACAATTAAACCTTTAAAGGACATTTTTCATCCCTTATTCATAGATAACTTTCATTTATCTAGAATTTTATATAACTGTATTGCAATGCATATTTGCAATACAATTCGTATCAATCTCCTTGCGGAAGAACAATCAGATACTTATATATTCTTTCAATATCTAAGAAACAAATACCTTTATTTTTCAAAAATGTAAAAAAGAAAGATAAATTTAAAAATAAAGTATTTATTATTCATACGTACTCGTACATTGTCATTGAATTCAATATCCAAAATAAGTCTGTCTCGTAACTGAAATCATCTGACTAAGAACCTTTACGAAGAGTAGGATTGCACAATCACACTATCTGCTATACCTTATTCTTTGATGCAAAGGAGAAAAAATCTTGAAAAGATCATTCCCATTGTTGCATATTACAAGTACCATCTAAAAGTAAGAAGCATTTTACATGCTTTTTCGAGACCCGCTATGTGTAATATGAATTAATTTTGGGTATAATTTACCGTTACTACAAACGGACGAATCTCAAGAAATGACATTTTTATACTCGAGTAGAACTGTTCCTTTGTTGCAGCAGGGACAATGGTAGAGGTTTCTTCTTTTTATTTCTTTTTTTTTTTAAAAAAATCTTCTTTTTGGTAGCTTTTCTTTTTCAAAGGATACTATGACATAACAATAAGTATGGGAGAGTAATTAAAATGCAAAATGTATGCTATTAAATAATGCTCAAAGTATGTGGGAGTTATTTGAGGTTTATTTGTGCTTTCAGTTTGAACAGGGATCCTAAACTAAGCCGTAAGGCAAATCGTAATAATTATTTTTTTTCATGTACAACGCTTTTCGTAACTTTATAAGTTCATTGTTATGGGAAATAAGGCTTTAAGAAGAGATAAAAGTTTATTTGGAATTTGGATTCAATTACACATTTATTTATACTTCTAACCATACATGGCAACGTTACTTTTAAAAAGTAACGAGTAAAAGTACAAGTATTTTTAAAAAAAGTAACGAGTAAAAAGTAAAAAGTTCTTATTTTAAAAAGTAACGAGTAAAAAGTACAAGTAAAAGTACAAGTACTAAACAAAAAAAGTAACGATTTAAAAGTACATTTCTAGGAAATCGAAAATTCAAAGTAACCTAAAATTTTATTGAATAATATTCTTATGTTCTTTAATGTTTTTGCAAAATTGTTGTTATTTATTTAATTATTTTTAATTTTGAAAGTTATGGACATTAATTTATTTTTAAATTCGGAAGAATATTATAATATAATTTTATAATATAATCGTATAATATAATTTTAAAATCAAATATAATTTTAATATCAAACTTTTTATGGATTTGCACGAAAAAGAAATTTTATCTATTGATTTTAATTTTTAGTTTATTATTTTTATTTATTTAAATTACCATTGATTTAAAATTGTTTTACTCTATAGAAACGCGTTTTAAAAGCACAAACATAAACAAAGCAAACACGGGGTTTCAGATAGCTTTGTGATCTTTGAGCTAGTAAAAAATAATTGAATGTGCAGTATAAGTTGAAACAGAAGGTATTTAAACACGAAGTTAGCTGTGAATGCATATATATTGCATCCACAGCTTTTTTTTTTTTTTTTTTTTTTTTTAAGAAAGCTTACCGAGTTTTAGAAAAACGTAACGATTTCATTCGAGAGTTCCGTTACAAATACTTGTACTTTTTCCCTAAAAAAGTAACGAAAGTACAAGTAAAAGTACTAAATTTAAAAAGTAATGAAGTACAAGTAAAAGTACGTACTTTACCTTGTACCGGCGGTACAAGTAACGAAAGTAAAAGTACTGCCATATATGCTTCTAACTGATGTAAAAATTATATATATATTTTGAAAATAAAAAATTATTCTAAAAATTTTTAAAAAAAAGTCGAGAACAGTTCATTTTTTTTAATTTAAATTTTTTAATATATTTATTTTTCCTTAAAACGACAAATATAATTAATTAAATATAAACTAATTATGCTAGTATATAAGCTAGTTATGTACATATTTACATAACTGGCAACATTCGCATTAAATCGATCAAACGATGACATTTAAATGAAAAAGTGATCAATATCATTAAAGCTAAATAATTATCAATAAAATTACTTTCGATAATACGTGTGACATTTTAGTCACATATAGAGAAAAATAGCTTTTCTGGTGTTTTTATATTAATGAACAATCAATAACATAAACAAAATACATGACAATGAGAAATGGAGGTTCATATCTGATACCACTGAAAATAAATGAGTATGTTTTTGAAGAGGTTGTGTGATTAAAATAATTGAGTAAATTGTAAATAATAATAATTATATAACTATCGAAATTTAAATAAAAACTAATACGACTAACAAATGTCGAGATACATCACATAGAAAAAAAAAAGATAAAGCTATCCAAGATATTAGATATTAGTAAGACCAGTAGTTTTGTAGGGGAGCGAGTGTTTTAAGTGGACAATGAATAAATCAGATGAGATTAAATTGGTTGCTGTGAATGATTACAATACCGTATAGTTTTGTATTCATGATTTTTTAACCGAACCGATTGTAAACTGTTTCAAAACTATAAGGTTAAAAAAATTATCGTTATTATAAACTTTTGTTTAATTCGATGTTAAACTTGTTAATTAGATGGACTGACTGTTGCTGGTTACTTTACCATAATTTCAGAATGAAAATTATAACAGCGTAGAGAGAGTATGTTATATAGTTTAATTATTCCTTTAACAAAAATGATTAATTTTCACTCCATCAACAGTCATGATCATTTTAATAAAAAATGGAGTTTTGAAAAAAATTAGGTGCTGGTTGTGGTGAGAGGAAATTTTGTAACAGGGAAATACATAGTTCAATATGTCAAAAGCCACCACATTAGCAGAAATATTGTTTAAAATGCAATCTTCATATTGATTGAATTTTCATACATTGTTAGTTCTAACCGTAAACATTAAATGCCTTTAAGCTTAAATTTCTATTTATAACCAAATCGATAAACTCTACCGTCACAGTTTATTCTATTTGGAATTAAAACTTAATAACTGTCGTTCAATAAATTCTTTGCTGAAAAGTAATTTGGCAGCTGAAATCACAGTTGATCCATGCGCCACGGTTTTAACGTTATAATTAAAACTATTCGCAAATAAAAAAGCGTTACATTCCATCCAAAAAAATTTAAATTTCAAATATTTTTTTCATTTGAATATTGCGTGAGATATTTTGGCTCAAATAGATTATACATAAAAGAACAAATAAGAAAAGCAATAGTTTCTTAATTTAAGTTCTATATTCCTAGTAAATTACTTTTTATTTTTTATTTTTCTTACATAAAATAGAATTCTAATATTTTACAATATTGCCTTAAATACGCTTATGATGTTCTGTTAAAGTACATACACTGCGTACACTGTAAAAACCCTAAATACACAGTAAAAAAATTCCTGAACAAATTACTCTAAAAAATACCGGTACTCAAGGTTTTGGGATTTTACGTTTCACCGTAAAATCCCAAAATGCATATCATAATGATCATGCGCAAACATCTTTTTCAATGCATTTCAATGAAAATCTAATAATTCAACTATTCCTTTAAAATAAAAGTATAAAGTGGAAACAAATTTTCAGCAAGTTTTACATTAAAAAAATTACATTCTTCGACATTGTCAAATTAAATAAAAAATTTCGAGCAAATGTTAAATATGAGTTATTAAAATGATATTACTCTTTACTTGCTTTCGCATTTCAGTCTTAACTTTATATTATTTTTCACGCACATCAATCAGATAAACTTTTTTTCTTCATAAAAATGTGCACGAATAGGTAAATAAAAAAATAAGCTAATTTAGTTTTATGAATTCAAGTTTTAAATCAAAGTCAAATTTTGAGAGACTACTTGAACTTCATTTCAGAATATTTCTGATTAAATATTTACTTGGCTCACCATAGAAGGCCGTAATTGGCTGGCCAGGTATAGAAGTGCGCATGTGCATCGGAATTTTTAGATGGTTTAGTATGTCTAGCAATGTAATTTTCAAGACCTGAGTCCCTTTTTCTTCAGTAGTGGCTTGTTATAGTTCGATAACAATTTTGATTTTTTTTTTCTGCGGGGGTACTGTATTGGCGATCGATCGTTCTCTGATTCAGGTCAAAATTACGATCTGTGGATAAATGAATGAATGTATGAATGGGTCCGCCCTATAAACGGGTGCGACGTATGGTGTGGCAGAAGTCGAATTCTCGGCCATAGGTGGCGCCACTGAAAAACAAGAAACGCACACTCTGCCTTAAATTGCTCGGTTTCACCAAGCAGGCTTGCCCGTGTGGCAGTTGACATTAGAAACAACAACAACAGCACAACCCCCAATGCTGGCTCTGTTATTAATTAATTTTTCCAAAGGACCTAAAAACATATACAAGCGGTTATTACAGAGTACTCTGTATGCAAAAAATACAGTTGATACTTATAAATTTTTTTCAGGATATAAAATATCGTAATATTTGTTCATTTATTATTTTTTGTAAGAGAGAATGATCTATATTTAATATCCTCATAAAAACTGCAACCGCTTGGTTTTTAAAAGTCGTTGCTCATAGAGCGTGGAACGTTATTTCGTGAAGTTATGGTTATGACACCTGTGTAAACAAAAACCCGATGCCATAGCAGCTATAAAATAAAGTAAGTAGCCATTAATGCACTGGTTTTCATTGAAGGCGATATTTGAATTTTAAATCTGGCAATAAGAGATCACATCTGGCTCTTAAGTCACATTTTTGGCATAATCTTTTATCGTGTGTGTTTTGGTAGCGTGTCCTTGATGACAATGGGAATTGAAACAATGGGAAACGATACAAATTTTTTCAAGAAAATGCTATGGATATTATGAAAAAACGTTATTCAACATTTTCGAATAAGCTGTTGACATTGACTGATCCGTGATTTGTGGTTGGGAAAGCAACAAAGAAGTTTTGATGCAAAATTCTATCCATTGTTTGGAGAAGTCACTTTCGGGTAGAAATGATAATATTTTGTTTTTACCATATGAGAGTTACGTATTTACTTGTTCAGTCGAATAGTTATCAAAGATAATGACTTGAAGATTATATATGATAATATTTATTTTATCTTTAGATCAGTAAATTAGATCAGTAAATATCAATTCACGCATATAGCAATAATTTTTTAAAACTTTTTTCTTATAAAAGTATTTATTGAATAGTATTTATTGGTTGTGCATATAATCACGTAAATTATATTGCACTTAAAATATTTTGATTAAAAATGGAAAATTTAACTGAAAATTTAACTGCTTCGTAAAATCAAGTTAAATTTTGAAAATTTAAAATTATATATATGTAATAATTAAAACTATAAAATTTAACTAAAGAGATTATTAGGATAAATTTTTAAGTAGAATTTTTAAAAAAAGATTATTAAAAAAAAAAAAAGTTTTTAAATCATAAAATTTGATTTCACTGAAAAGCTTCTTTTCATCACTTGTTAAATGTAATGTTCTAAAAGATTTTAAAAAGAAAAAATAACAATTGAAAATTTCAAATTATATATATGTAATAATTAAAACTATAAAATTTAACTAAAGAGATTATTAGGATAAATTTTTAAGTAGAATTTTTAAAAAAGATTATTAAAAAAAAAACAGTTTTTAAATCATGAAATTTGATTTCACTGAAAAGCTTCTTTTCATCACTTGTTAAATGTAATGTTCTAAATGATTTTAAAAAGAAAAAATAACAGCTTTAAATCATATACGTACATATATAAACACCAGAAAGCTGAAAAACATCATTTTTCATTGAAAACTTTTTCCTGTTAATAAACAGTTGGCAGTACAAATCAATGTTTTCTATTCATAGCTTACTGTAATACATTTTTAAATTTAAGAAAACTGATAATTTTTAAAA